TGGACCAGAGTCCATCGCATTTATTTCAGTTAAAAATAATAAATCTCTATATATCTCTCCATTTAGCCATCTAGAGGGGATTTGGAGCAGTCAAGAGTGCATCTGCTTTGAAGACTTAGCCCTGGTGTGTCCCCAGCACAGGGATAAGGTGGCACTGGGAGTCAGTCTTTCTCCTGAAGCGACCCAGGTTCAGTCACCTTTTACTGTGTCTCCCAGAGCTTGGCAGCATCCTTTTCTGCCCCTCTTTCTTCCTGCTCCCCAGCTGCCTGAGTGACGCCCTAGACTTGAACCTCCTGCTTGAAGCAGTCTTGGTTCCGGCCCGTTCAAGGCAGAGGTCCGGCTTCCTGTGTAAGCTACTGGTATATGTAAGGGTCAGACGGGTAGGGTCTTGAGACATGAAACGTCAAAATGCAGGTCCTATGGCCCCTGTAGTCGGGCGTGCGGAGGGAGGTCGTTCTCCCCCGGCAGGGTGTCTGCTCCTTGAGCTTCTGCCTCCGTTGGGCCTCTTTAGAAGGCCAGACCCTGCTCCTGAGTCGGAGTCCAACTCCTCCCTCTGCCCCTGAACTCCAGTCTGCCCCTCTTAGGATTTTTATTGCTCAAAGTGTCTTATTCTTTGTTCCCATACATATAACCCCTCTGTCTATTGGGGGGGGGAGGGGTGACCACAAGAAACCTTCCAGGGAAACAGCACAGAATGGACTGTTAGTTATGTTTTTTAAATACATATATAAATATATAAATAAATACTTCAACAGATCATGAGGAAAAAATTCTCTTTGGTTCTTACAAGAGAAATGAAGTGAACAAATGTTTCTCAAAAAGAGCTTGGACATCATATCGATCATGACTGGAAAGACTTGTGCTGAATTCCTGTCAGGGTGGAGTTCGTCTTCAGTGGCCAAAAAAAGAATGAAAACAATACTGTTATTGATTGAACTGATGAGTGGGTGGAGCCTCGGGGAAATGTGTGGGTGGTCATTCCTGGGGTGTGTATCCAGTGATGTTCGTCCTGCAATGGATTGGTCCTTCTTCGGTCTGTCCTTTCTGCCTCCTGAGGCTCTGTTCTAGGACTGTTTCATCTGTTGACCACTATAAAGGATCTTCCTGCTGAGCACAGCTGTGTTGGCTCGTTCTTGCTCTTACATCTCTTTTCCAGTTGATAGAGCATAGCTGGTGTCGGCAGAGCAGACGTCACGAGAGGCGTGTCTGAGGAAGGGATGTTTAACATAGCATATCAACTTATGTGGGTGAGCTTTTTATTAAATACAGGTCCACAAGACCATTTACAGTGATATACCTGCACTTAAGATGGAAAGTGTTTATGTTAGGCTGGTCTTGAACCCAGGAGCTCAAGTCATCCTTCCGCCTCAGCTTCTCAAGTAGCTGGGACTTCAAAAGTATGTCACACTAAGCTCGGGGTGTGTTAAACCAGCCTCCTAACAGTTGACATCCCCCACCACCCCCACTCCCCATGTCCTGGTTTCATGTATTCCACATCGAACTTGAACCTGTTATCCTCACCTGCACCTTCCAAGTTCTCAGCTTACAGGTGTGCACCACCATGCCTGTTTTACATGGTGTTGGGGATCCAACCCAGGCCTTCCTACACACTAGCCAAGCACTCCACCAAGGGAGCTACACCCTCATCCTCATTTCCCAGGTAAGTATCTAGCACGTCCCAGATTAGTTGGGTAAGTGGGACCAGAACTTTATGATTGCTGTGAGTAGTCTTTGCTTAGAGAGGGTGAGTGGTGGTCTTGGGGTACATTCTAGTGATCAGTACGTTCTCACCGTCCTGTCATCTTTTTCAAAGCCTGTCACAGAGGGGTGGGGCGTTGAGAGCTAGGCAGCTGCAGTTAGGCAGAGGTGGCTGGCCTGCTGAATTAGAGCCTCGTGGCAGCTGTTGGGTCTGGGTCTCCCTCTGCCATCTTGTCGTGGTGTGGTTGGACATCCTCCTGGTCTGCAGCTTCGGTGAAGTCATCTGTGGAGGCAACGAAAAATTATCTGTGGTGCTGGGCCTTGTATGATCTAGGCATGTGCTTACCACGTAGGTGCATCTCCAAGCCTCCTGCCTCGACACCCGTCATGTCCCAGGTCTCTGTGGCTGTTGACACTTTGGTCTACAGCTTCTCCTTCATCATTTATTTATTCATTTCTTTTTATTTTTTTCTCTTCAACTTTTACTTAGGGAGAGTTGAGGAGGAGAGGTGAAAAGTGCCAGTATAAGGCCCTGGTCTGCCTTTGCTAGGGCACTTAAGTGTGAATCCTGCTAACCATGCCATGGGGACAGTTCTAGCCTTGCCCCAGCCCCCCATTGCAGGCTCTTCTCAGAGATCTTACAGGAAAATCTATAAAACTATTTTTTCATGCTGTTCAAATCAGTGCAGAAAGAAATACAGTAGGATCAAAAAAGGGGGCCGCTTTTCTTGGCCAAAACACCAATGGAATCCCAGCCTTGGCTAAGTGGGTAGGAGTGGAGAGAAGCTAGCTAAATGCAGGCTGAAAAGGACCTGAAGAAACTTCCTCAGCTGTCAAACATACCAGCTTGGTTCACTTTCTCCAGCTGGATGCCACAAATCCAGCCAGCACCTGGATTAAGAAACAGCATGGCTGCTCTCCAGGAACACCAGGTCTCTCTTGTCACAGAAAGCTCTCCTGACACCAGCAGCACGGGTCACTTCCCCCACCTTCCTCACAGGTGTTCCATACAGTCTTTAACTGCAGGAAACTAGCTTATAGGTGAAGATGGTTACTCACCATGAGCACTGTGAATGGAGGTGTTGGGCGAGGCTAAGTAAGTGGTCTCCTGCGTGGCCTGATGGGAGGGAACCTTAGCACCTCTTGTGTTTCTCAGCTGGTTGGCTTGTTGGGAATTGGGAAAGCCATTTAGTTGGCTGATGCGCTGCCAGGCATTGTGTGAATTACAGCTGTGTTCTTCACCAGCCTGGAAGGTGGGTGGCGGTGCTCACGTTTTTATAGTTGCCATGTGGGCTCAGGTTTGCAAGTACAGAGCCTCTTGGTGTCAGCACCCAAGCCCTTCAAGACACCATGGCTCTTGTGCCGTTCACGGTAGCTTTTCCTTGAGTGTAAGTGAAGCCCGTGTCCATTACTATCAGGAGGGTTTAGCAGTCTAACCCTCTCGGTTGTTCTGAGGTTCATGGCGTGTAACAGCAGTGATGCGTCTCTGTGCCAGCAAGTGTGGCTCAGAGGTTACACAGGTTCTATTTGGGAACGCAGAGCTAGGGTTCCAGGTGTTGCTAAGACAAAAGTGCTGTCGTAATGGTAGTTGCACAACCGTGTTTACATTTCCAGGTTTAGAATCATCTTCAGGGAGGAAATCGCATCTGTGCCTGCAGCTTGTGTATGCTCATTAACGGAGCTAGTTTCAGTTACTGGCTTATAAGACGCTGTATATACTCCACCCTCGTTAGGCTTCCGCTGCCACATTCCCCCATCTACACGTCATAGACCTTGGTACTACATGTGACCAGAGCCATCTGATGGTTTGTAGTCCACAGAAGACACATTGCTTGGTGCTGAGTGATCTTAGCTACTGTCATGTTTTAAACTGCTACTTTATCCTGACACTCCCTATCCTCACAATTCTACAACTAAAAGAGCCTGTATTTCCTGGGCTGCTGTAGTCTACCTTCGTGTCTCTGCTCAGGTTATATATAGCTCTGTAAGAGGAAGGACAGTTTAGTACTGCAACAGCTTTCACCTGAAGCTGGTGCCTCGTGCCTCACAAGCTCATGCTATACCACGGAGCAGGGACGCTGGCTTCCTCTGTACGATGACACTGATAGTTATGCTACTATTTATTCCCTGACTCCTTTATGAATTGTTACAAGGATCAAATAAAATGTGAGACTCAAAATAGTAGATACATAATAGTCTCACCCATTTTGAGGACTTGGTTTTCTGAATGTTCTATTAGGGTCCTAGGGGGAAAAGATGAATATTCATGGGTATTTGCTTAATCAGGGAGTATCCTGGCCAACAGAAATATGTATTTAAAGCCAAATAGAACAGTTGTTAGAACCCAGAGAGTTGTGTTCCAATAAAGGCCATGGTCTCTAGTCAGACACTCAAGTCTCAACAGGAAGGGAGCCAAAGGCTAACAATCCCACCCCACTGCTCTGTTGCCTTATGCTTTCCCACTGATTACTGGGGACACGGAGGATGGATGCAGAGGTCCAGAGAGGAGCTTCCTGGAGCATGGGCAGAGCAGGCCACAGTGGGTATAGGAGGGCAACCTGAACATGTCCAGCAAGCTAACCCCACTGGCAAGCTCAGTAGGTATTTCCTTGGGCACTTGGATGCTTCCATAACCTAGGGATCAAGACCTGATTCGGGCTGGGTGTGGTGGTACACACCTTTAGTCACAGGCAGGCTGATCTCTGAGTTCAAGGGCAGCCTGGCCTACAGAGTGAGTTCCTGGACAGCCAGGACTACATGGAGAAACCCTGTCTCGAAAGACAAGACATAGTCTGAACCAGAAACTTACCACACATGCTTTTTAGTGATTGGTAGAAAAGACTTTTAACACTATCAATATTCCATAGACTGCCACTCTAAGATTACAAAAAGTCAAAGCCATTTTCTTTGACCTTGGGTAGAACTGGCAAGCTAAAAGTTGCTACCTCTTCAAAATGCTGAGAAAGGCATGTTCAGATCCATCTTCCCGTCCAATACCCACACGTGGTAACAGAAGAATCCAGGACCTATTGGTACTGTGTGAGAAGGCCACATGTAATGGTGTCAAACCTGGGCCTGATTCCTCAGACAAAGCCATGGTGTGCTTTTCCCTCTACACCCCAGCTGCCTTTCTCCAGGGCAGAAGAGCTCTTCCTGGGCCTGCAGCACTCGGGTGGTCTCCCCACCAGGCAGTTCCTGGTGAAAGCAGCTTTATTTCTGCTTTGTCAGTCTTCATTCCGCAGAGCCTACTTCGCTAATGGAGGGGTATCTATGGAACTTAGTAGGCAAAGGAAGTACATACCTTTTATGATAAGGCCTTCCATGCTCTGAGCTTTTATTTATGTCATTTCACATACTTTGACAAGATTAGAAAATTGAAAAAAAAATTATCTTTTATTTCATGTGTATGGGTGTTTTGCCTGCATTTCTATCCATATCCCATGTCTGCCTGTTGCCAAGGAGGCCAGAAGAGGGTGCTGGATTCTCTGGAACTGAACTTTGAGATGGGTATGAGCTGCCATTTGGTTGATGGGAATTGAACCTGGGTCCTCCTGAAGAGCAGCCAATGCTTAACCATTGAGCCATCTCTCCAGCCCTCACTGTAGTCACTTTGCCCTCCGAGGCTGAAGGACTCCATCTGAATACAGTGAGTACCATTTATAAAATGTCCTCATTAGAAACAGAAGGGAGCTCCCACGTGCCCTCCTTCTGACTGTCTGGACAGGATGAGCTGTACGAGAAGCAGTAAAGGTCCTGCTGGACAGCCATGAGCAGCCCTGGGGCTCCCCGGGGGCCCCCAAGCCGAGGAGAAAAAGCCACACTGGGAATGTTGGCCTTGGACGTTGGGCATGGAGAAGGTATGGTTCTGAGCAGATGGGCATCATGGAGGCTCCAGATTCTTGTGTAGCAGTCTTGGCCCACTAAGAAAGAGGACAAATAACACAGCAGGTTAGGGAATGAAGGAAGTACGTACAGCAAGTAAACTTATCTTCTCAGGACCTCTCGGGGCCAGATGTGACTGTGCTAAGCCCAAACACAAAGGCCCTGGTACAGTAGTTCTTGACCTGTGTGTTGTGACCCCCTTTGGGTTGCCTTTCACTGGGGTCCTCTAAGACTACCAGAAAAACACAAATATTTACAATTCATAACAGTAGCAAAATCACAGTTACAAAATAACAGTGGAAATAATTTTATGGTTGGGAGGGATCACTGAAACCTTATTAAAAGGGTTGCAGTGTTAGGAAGACTGTGAACCACTGCACTGGGGGAAGGTATTTCTGCTAATACATTTCTTAAAATTAAGACCACCAGTTGGTCCGTTGCTTCAGAACCCTAACTACCTTGCTGCAGGTGTTCAAAATGATAAGGACATCCTGGCTGCAGTGCCTGAGCTCAGCCAGCACCCTGGCTTACTGGCAGAGGTTCTTCTTAAGTGGAGTCCAGCCCACCTTATCTAGAGGCCAGGCAGCTGGGCTCCTCTTGACACTACCCAGAAGCACATTACACCCTGACAGAGCAGATGACAGCTATTTCTAGTTAAAGAGATCAAGTTGAAGTTCACAAGACTCCACGTTATGACAACGTAGCATGGGCCACCATGAGTTACAGTGGACCAGACGCTAGATCTGTGGAGGGCTTTAGCAGTCGGATTTCAAATGACCACTTGGCCACTCTGGGCCCATAGTGGTGCCATGGCAGATGATGTGTTTGGGGACATGGCTGGCTGTTGTGGCTGGGCAGACACTGCCTGCCTCTCAGCAAGGCTCCCCTTGTGTCTACCACCCAGCACAGGAAACTCTGCTGAGACCAAGACTCCAGGAATATCATTTTAAGAACAAGTCCAGAGTTGGTGCTGATGAAGACATCAAGAAAAGTCCCATCCCAGTAATGGTGCTTATCCCCCAAGAGTTTTAACGGAATGGGTGAGCACTTCCTTTAGGAACATTAGCACGTGAGGCTTCGGGAAGACTGAGAACATGTCAAGGGCCTCCTGTTCCTTATGTAGAAACACTGATTTGGGCTTATAGACCTGGAAAGAGTACAACCTCTACTCAGGTTAACTCCTTCAAGGCTTAGTGGCCAGATCGCTGCTTGGTGGATCATGGGTATGTTAGAAGGCCAGGATCCAAGCACTTTAGGCACCCTGAATTTCTCAGCATCCTCTTAAGGGAGAGTGAGCAGAATGGCTCATGCTCTCTTAAGTGAGCACTTTAGGCAAGATGGTGCCTGATGAGATCCCGTGATTCAAAGAGACCCAACGTCCTACTTAGTCCCTAGCTGCCCATTTGTGAGGTGCTACCTGCCACTAACATGCTGACAGAGGGCTAGCTCTTGATATCTCTGTGGTCCATAATTCACTTTAATTCCCATAATTCCACTTCCTCCCTCTGCTGGTTAAGATGTGAGAGCCCTTACAGGTAGCACCTGATGGATGGGACCTCCCAATCCCCACACACCTGCTACCAGGATCCCTTCCTCCTCGTGCATATGCAGTGGCAGGTAGGCATACTCATTCACATGACCTTCATACTGTCTCACACATTTAGTGGCCCTCAGGTCCCACAGCTTGATCTGTAGGCAGAAGCACAAAGGGTTACTTGGGAAGGGTCTAGCAGGCACACAGCGACTACCGGGTATGCAGCCGGAGGGTGACATGATCTCAGTGGCCTTCTCCATGGATGAAGATTCATAGCCTTGTGTCCGTCAGACTCACAGAACAGAGGCCCTCCGCACTTCTATCTAGGCAAGGTTAAACATCTCGAGCAGCAAAGGAACTCCCAGGATAGCCCCGACCCTGGTGTCTTGGCACACCTGTGTGCCATGCCCTGCACCCTGCTCTCCCGAGACCTGAGGTCAGTATTCCTCACCTTTCCAGCCATGTCTGATGCCATCAGGTAGTGCTCCTCCTTGAAGATCTGCACAGAGGTCACTGATGAGTCATGGAAAATTTGGGTAGCCTTCCAGCCCTTGGCCTGACTTGAAGAACGCAGGTCAATGGCAAAGATCTCCCCAGAACGACAGCCGTTGAACAGCAAAGGAGTCTGTGGAGAGAGGAACAGTGCCCAGTGTCTACCACTTTCCTGTAAGGAAGGGTATGCCCTGGCATTGGGGCTGGGAGAAGTTTGGGTCTCAGTGGAATTAGAAGAGAGGCTGATTTGTTTTTGTTGTTTTTGTTTTGAGACAGGGTTTCTCTGTGTAACAGAGCCCTGGCTGTCCTGAACTTGCTTTGTCGACCAGGCTGGCCTCAAAACTCAGAGATCTGCCTGCTTCTACCTCCTGAGTGTTGGGAGAAAAGGTGTATGCCACCACACCAGGTTGGAGGCCGAGTTCTTATAAGAGGGTAGAATACACAGACCCTGTATCTCCTTCAGTATCACTTGTAGTGAGCCTGTAGGTGCTTGGAGGTAGATCCATGGTCCCCTCAGGCTTCTTTCCTAAGGCCTAAGTGATGTCTCCCTGTATCCATTATGGCTCTGGTGAGATCTGAGGTGATGGACTGGTGGCAAGAGCAGACAGCTAGGTTAAGTGTGTGGGTTTATCACAGATGGATGAAGGGCTGAATGGTCAGGTCTGCTCCTGCCCAACACAGGCCAGCTGACTCCCTCCTCTGACTCTTTTAAAGAAAGAGCATTTTCTATAGCTAAGTCCTTGAAATACAGTAATGAAGACAATTTAATTTTCAATCTCTAACTCGTAAGTTCTATATGAGACTAATCTCCAGGGTTGGGCTGCTGGGCAGGCGTTCTACTCACGAGCTGCACCTGTAGTCCCAACTTAGAATTTAAAAATGATCCGTACTGACTAATCCAGTATTCAAGACCTGCTAACAACTGGCTAAGGCGCTTGGGAGACAGTTCCACATCAGTTAACGTTTGCTCAGCTCAGACCTGGTCTCAGTGTAGCCTGGTGGCCCACACCTTTAATCTCAGCACTCCAGACAATGAGGCAGAAGGACTTCTGTGAATTCAAGGATGGCCTGGCCTACATAATGAGTTCCAGGCTAGCCATGGCTACATAGTGAGACTGGTTTCAAGAAAACCAAATCAGGGCTGGAGAGGTGGCTCAGTGGTTAAGAGCACTGACTGCTCTGGCAGAGGTCCTGAGTTCAATTCTCAGCAACCACATGGTGGCTCACAACCACCTATAATGGGATCTGATGCCTCTTCTGCTGTGTCTGAACACAGTGTACTCATATATATATATATATCTTTAAAAAAAAAGAAAAAAAGAAAAAAGAAAACCAAATCAAGTAACAATAACAACAACAAATCCAAACAAGCAAACAAACAAAACGAAGTAGCCCACTGAGCCTCCCCACGCTTTGTTTTCCTTGTAAGAGGCTGTGGTCCAGATGTTACAGCAGGGAAACCCAGTTTCACCCCCACAAATGTTCTACTGTAGGGAACATTCTAGTACACCCTTCCCAGCCCAACTAACCTTGACTGCAAACTGCTGGGCCAAGACATCACTGTTGGTCCTGTATGACTGCCGGTGTCCCGTCACCACGTTGGTCAATAGGACCCTCCGAGACAAACCTGGTGGAGACAAGACACGGCTCCCTGAGACCAGGGATGCTGGCCATCTGGGGAAGAGAACCTGCTGGGTGTGGTCTTTAGTTCTGTGGAGTTCTGTACTTGACACCCAAGGAGGTGGCTATGGCTAACCTGTGCTGAAGCAGTTATTTGCCTGGACGTTTAAGGACCAGGCACAGGACCAGGCCCCAGGGATCCGGAAACTGCAGAGCATGCCAGGCTGGTCTGTACCTGCTAAGAGAAACAAAGTAAAACAAGGCTGCCTTTTAGGCCCAGGGACATCTCTCCTTGATACCAGGCTAGCAACCATAGACCTGGGATAGCACCAGGAACACGGCTCAGACCCCAGCCATGAGTTAGGTGTTTCCCAGAGTTCATATTTGCAACAATTCCCCCACCCCCCAAGCCATATGGTGACACATTTCAGAGACAGGGCCTTTGGAACGTGACTAGGATTTGATGAGGTCCTGCAGATAGAGCTCCAAAGTAGCAATGGTGGATTTATGACAGAAAGAGGTCAGCAGTAATGGGTTGTCCTCCCCAGAGGTTGGCTCAGCCTGCTAGGATTCGCAGCCTCAGAACTCTCGGACCAAGGCTCCAGTTTCCTTATCTGTAGTGGTAAGATGCATGACCCACAAGTTTTTGGGCGGTAAGATGCCAACAGGGCTAAACGTTCATGGCTTCATCTACTTCCATGAGGAACCTGCTGGGGCAGGCTGCCTCCGTCTTCCAGAGGTCAAGCCATGTGCTTAGACCTGGGAATGCAGTAGCTGTACTTTGGGCCTGCTCTGCCTGGAGTCTGCACTCTTGGAGCTGACCCCACCCGGCAGATGCCAACTCTCTGAAAGTCTGAAGACAGCAGGCAGAAGTCTGTCAGAAGGAGCAAATTGCTGCAAGCCAGCCAGCATGCCTATCACGCATGGGAGTTTAATCAGTGCCTCTGGATGATCGCTACTGGCAGCTCAAGCCAACGCACTGATGTCTTGCACTGGCTACTTATGTGCAGATTTGCTCTAGCTGCTGACACGACCTCAACGGATTTACAAAAAGCTGCAAACTTTAAAATGCAGCAATCCTGGGCCAGACTTTGACAGCTCTCCCTCAGTGTTGCCCACCCTGCCCCATGTGTTGAACTGGGGCCAAGCCAGCTTCTGGTACCCACATCTCAGTGACCCCCCATGGAGACAGAGGACACATCCTCAAAGTATTATTATTATTATTTTTTTTTCCAAAGCTAAGGAAAGGACTCCTTACCTTGGGGATTGCTGACAAACAGTGATGCGGGGAGCAAGGTGGCACAGCCTGGTGTCTCTGCAAGGCCCATGAGGCACAGCCTAGAAAAAAATCTGTTAAGGATCGTCAGGTACAGACAGGGCCGTCCTCTGGGAGAAGGATGCCATCAGTATCCTTCAGAAAGTTAGGGCAGAGAACAACATGCAGATGTAACACTTTTTACTCTTTCCACGTTCTGTTTCTTCAGGAACGTGATGTCACAGACACTGTTAAGAGCTCTTAGTCCCTTGCAATCTGTCTCCCGTCTTCTACTAAAGACCTGGGCTTTTCAAGGTGAGGTGAGTCTGGTAAGGCCATGGTATAACGTGCCCACGCGTGTACTTGCCTGTCCACATGGTGAACTACGTACGTCTCAAGCATGAAAGCTTAGGAACTCAGCAGCTACAAGACAGAACCCACGACAAGTGTCATGAACATGTGTGAGACAAATCTCACACAGGGAACACAGGCACCATCACAGTGGGCTAGTGTATTCCTAGAGAAAAGTCCCGTGGGCTCTGAGTGAACAGAGACCAGCGTGTTCTACAGCCACGGGGCCCAAGACCTAGTCTTGTGCTCGGTGTCAAAGGAAACTCCATGGCATCCCATTCCTCTAATTGCTGCTTCCTCCCTCCACCTCACAGCCGGGCACCTTCTTAGGGCTGTGCTTACCCTTGCTACTTTATTCCCTTGCCAAAGCAGAGCCTCTGCCAGAGAGGCTGGGTCTGTCTAGTGACCCACGAGCCTAAACCTGTATGTCAGTGGTAGAGCAGGTAGACCCTGAAGCCAGACTTCTAGGACCCAGGGCTATATCTCTAGCAACTACACATCAGGTCCCAGATGTCTGGCACACAGGAACTTGATCATCATCCCAGAAACAGCGACCGCTGTACCTTGGCTGCTCATGGAGACTCTCTGTTGTGGACCCAGGTGTAGTCTTTTCCTGAAAGGTTAGACACCCCTCTGCTATCTCCACAGATGCTCAGGTCCATACCAGGACATGGCTGTCTACTAGACCCATTCACCTGCTGAAGGATACAGAATGTGGGAGTCCAGGTGATTGAGTGAGGCCCAGCACACAGAGTTCACCTGTGGGGAAGCGGGAGAGAAAAGACTAGGTTGACTGTTGCTCCTGAAGAACTTGCTACTCTTACGAAGGACTTGAGTTTGGGCCCCAGCACCATGAGAACTAACTCCCTCTTTTGGACACACACAGACACATGTGTGCAAGTATGCACACACACATACACACCCCTTAAAATGAGAGAAAAAACGGAAGAGAAAGAGAGAAGAGAGAGAGAAAGAGGCACAGACACATGACACCCCGACTCCCTGCAGTACAGAGACTGAATATAAAGCTCTGACCATGCTAGGCAAGCACTCGACCACTAAATTACCCCTTAATCTGACGTGTGATTTCTTTCTTCAGGTTTTGCTATTAAAATGCGCTGGAAGGAGCATCCTGAGGATGGTGGAGCTCCCTGCTCAGACCTCTTAGGCCCTGAGAGGGACAGGAAGGAGCACACTCCAGGCTCCAGTCCTTGTGCCTCAGCATGGGTCCCATGCTAAGGTATTTGTCAATGGCCCTCTCTCCCAAGCCAGACCTGCATTCTCTATTTTTACAGGGCCAGGAGACAAACTTAACTCTTAAGCAAAGGTATCCGGTGTCTTGCTTTACCCTCTAGGGGTTTCTTTCTTTCCTTCCCTTCTCTGCCTCCTCTGAGAGAGGAAAGTACAGCTGGGCTCGTCCTGTAGCTCAGGCTAGCCTTAGGCAAACAGTGACCCCCCAGTCTCAGCCTTCTGTGTGCTGAGTGAGAGTACAGCCATCACACTGGCCTCCCTAAGCCATGTTACCAGTCTCTAGCTTGTGCCTTCTGTCTTATCAAACAGGAAGTCACTGCCTTAGATGCAGCATAAAGGCTATTCCTGGATGAAGCACCTGGCATTTTGGGAAGCACAGCAAAGGCCTCCACTAGGCTGTGATCACTGTGGCCCCCAGTCCAGGAACTACACCACCCCAGATCAGCGCTGATCCTTTAGAGAAGAATATCCTGACCGCTAGTAAAAGCCCCTGCCTTGAGCTTGCCCCAACCACCTAAACTAAATTTCTCTTCTCATGTTAAGACTCTCTGGGCTGGGCTGGAGAGATGGCTCAGTGGTTAAGAGCACTGACTGCTCTTCCACAGGTCCTGAGTTCACCCAGCAACCACACGATGGCTCACAACCATCTGTAATGGGATCTGATGCCTCTTCTGGTGTGTCTGAAGACAGCTACAGTGTACTCATATCCATTAAAAACAAATAATCCTTAAAAAAAAAAAAAGACTCTGGCTGGGCTTTGCTCTTCCTGTGGGCTCTCAGGAACTAGCAAACCATCTGTCCCTTGGAAAAGGGAGACGACTGTTCCTGGGTTCTTCACAAAGCTGTTTTCCCTTTGTCTCTCTGAATTCAGCCAACTACAGCAGTGGCCTAGGCCCAAAGGCAAGAGGCTACAAGAGTGGAGACAGGGCATACCTTCCTGTTGGTAAAGTACAGGTTTTCATGCATGTGCACCTCGAACGTGGGGGCCTTCAGGCCCTGCAGGTTGATGATGCCGTACTTGGAGCCTCCAATTTTGACGTCATTCACTGTGAAGAGGCGGTCACTGGTAGTGTCTGCCTGGAGGGAAACAGGCTGCAAGTGATCTCTCAGGCCAAGCCATGTGGGCTGCCTAAGCTTCTCTCTAGGATGGAGTGAGGCAGGGACCTAATTTAATTTAGCTCTTGCTCAGCGACTACACTCCAGCAAAGTGATCTCAGCATCTGCCCTGCCATTTCTGAGGCACTGATGAAGATGGGAAAAAGAGGGCCTGACCAGGAAGTCTCGTGTCCTTAGTGACCACCTCAGAAACAAGTCTGGAAGAATCTCAATGTTGGCACAGAGGACTATACCATGTGGCCACCATAAAAGCCACAGAGAGCTCTGAGTTCTAAACAAGCTACATAGTGAGACCCTGCTCCATTTAATTTAAATATACAACATAGGGCCTGTAATCCCAACACTCAGGAAGCTAACTACCACAGGAGAACTGAGTTTGAGGCCAGCCTGGAGTATCATCTCCTTGTCTTAAAAAGCCCCCAATAAACTTCCTTTGATAAAACTCTAAACAAAAACAAAACATTATTATTTTAAACTAAAATCTCTATCTATATTTATCTTTTTTTCCTATGTAACTGTGTGTTTCTGTGCATAGGTGTATGTACACACATACACACACACACACACACACTCACACACGAAATTCCTACTTCACAATTTTGAAGAGTTAGATGCTTGGATGTACCTACCAATAATGGAAATCAAGAGTGGGAAGCTGGCCGGGCGGTGGTGGCACACGCCTTTAATCCCAGCACTTGGGAGGCAGAGGCAGGTGGATTTCTGAGTTCGAGGCCAGCCTGGTCTACAGAGTGAGTTCCAGGACAGCCAGGGCTACACAGAGAAACCCTGTCTCGAAAAAAAACAAAAACAAAAAAAAAAAAAAAAAAGAGTGGGAAGTTACCTTCCTAGTCTCTGGCCATACTACCCAGCTAGTCACATGTGCTGCTGGGTTACAGGGAGGCTGCCCTACCACAGGCACATGGGAAGGGGCTGGAGAGGACCTACTGCCCTCAGGAGGGCTGCTGTAGCAGAGAGTGGGGCCTGGCCCCAGTACTTCTTTCATGGGCAGGCTCTGCTGTCAGGGGCTCCTGGGCCAAGAGGCCTCAAGGGTCACTTTGTGGCTTTCGCCTCTCATCTTGCCAGCAGCTCACTGATTCCATGGCCTAGTCTCAGCCTCTAGGGCTTTCCCTTGGCCTCCAGGAAGGATACAGGAACTCAGGAGGCCCATGGAGAAGGAGGATCTTTCATGTGCAGGGGGGTATGCTCTGGCTCCTTAACAATACGGACTGGACCCTAGACTCTAGCAGTTGGTCTCAATTTCTAGTAGATACAGAGACTTTCCACTTCCTACAACTGATGTGATGGAGGTATGCGTGACCCTGCCACTGAAGTCAGGGACATTGAGCAAAGAAGCCCGCCATGCTGCAGCTGATGGCACGTGGATCCTGCCACACTGTGCACAGCCAGGGAGAAGATAACTTTGTTTGTGCTGTGTGCCAGACCCAGGTTTATTTCATAGGACAGGACACACACACACACACACACACACACACACACACACACCCCTTAAAAACAACAAAACCCCACCAAACTGAAAGGCAGACACCTGTTTTTTCACACTAATCAGCTTCTTGTTAGCCAGGCTTAGTGAGTACTAACACCGAGCCAAGAATGGCAGCCGCACCTGGGCACTGACAGACACATCTCACTCACCAGGATGAAGTTAAACCGGTCACTCGCCAGAGCAGAAGGGTCTGAGCTCTGAATCTCTACCTTTTTCCTCTCCATACAGCTCACTCGCAGCTCATGGGATAAACTGGGGAGGGAAACAGAAACAGGAGGGCATGGGGACCACAGGCAGACGCCTGAGTCTGACGCAGGGGTATCATCTGTGTAGAACCAGCTGAGATGATGACTCAAGGCCAGTCTGGGTCACAGAAGCAATGAGGTCATGTTTCAACTGTAAAAAAGGCAAGACAGCGGGATTCTTTCTGCCTTTCCCACACCCATCTCCCCAGCACTTCTCATCCGCAATGCTACAGACAACTGAACGACTGGGAAGCCCTTCCCCAAGTCCGGAGTTAGACTGGCGCGATTTCTCCAGTCACCCAGTTCAGACATTCTCCTGGGATGAAGAAAATAGGCCTGAGAGTTGATCAAGTTGCCAAAGGGCACACAGAGAGAGGATGAGAAGATCCCAGGTATGTAGAGAACCACCTCCCTGCCCCTTTCCTCTTCCGTGGGACAGCTTCCTCTCCAGGTCAAGCAGAGAGAGAGAGAGAGAGGCTTCTCCCCTCTTGGGAGAGAGATGCAGGAGGCCGTATGGTATCCCTGCATGGCTAGCCTTTCCTGAGGTAGGCACTAGTCTACCTCATGTGCACGTGGAGGAAACAGAGGGTAGGGGGTTGGGATCAGGGCCTGGGGTTAGACAGATCCTGTTTTTGTTTTTACCTGGAGTAAAGTCACTGCACTCTGAACTTCAATTTTCTCTTTAGAAAACAGGAGGGTCTGTCTCTTAGCCAGCCTTTCTCCACCGTTGTCTCTCTGCATGTGGTTCTCAATGCCTACTTCCCAGCTCTGTCTGTCTGTCTGTCTCCCTTCAATTTATCTTACTAAGTAGACCTAGTGGAGATCACAAAAGTAACACACACACACACACACACACACACACACACACACACACTGAAATGCTAGGGATTGAGTCAGGTGTGTGAAGCAAGTACAACTTCACACTGAGCTGCTGGTTTTCAATCACAAGCCTTTTAATGCTTAAAAAAAAAAAAGGCAAACTGCCTGAAGGCTATGAGCCTCTAAAGCTTGGGGGTCAAGTAAGTAGTGGCTTTTTGCATAATAAAGGGCTGGCAGCTTAGAGCTGGGGCTTAAAGACCTGCGGAACATAGGCAGAAGCAGAGGAGGGAAGGGAGACAGACTAGGCAGGGAAGTAAGCAGTGAGAACCACAAGCAGAGGCAAAGGTGGACAAGTCTGGTTAAGTTAGAGGCTAGCTGAGAGACATTCCCAACAAAAGTCAACTGTCTTAAACTAATATAGATGTCTCCGTGTCTTTATTAAACCTCAAGCAGGATTCCCAAGAGCCCCACAATAACCCCAGCTATGAAGACTGCTCATAAAATACCACAAGGTCTCTCCTGACTAGATTTGTGAACTACAGAAATAAAGACAGGAAAAATAGGATATTATCTTACCGGCAATAACTGGAGAAGTTGAGAAAACCCAGCTGATTTTTTCGTAGGATGGAAGATGCATTAAATCCTAGTCTGGTAATTTTCTAAGTTTATAAATTAGGAAAAAAAAAATCAGTGAAGGCAGCCATGCTAGCATAAACCTGGAATTCTAGCACTGGGGAGGTGTATACTGGACACTAATTCAAAGCCATCCTTGGAGACAGTGCCTTCCAGACCAGCTTGGATTATGAGAGACCTTGCCAAAAAAAAAAAAGCAAAACCAAACCAAAACAACAAACAAACAAAAAAAAATCACTGTATATTTGTTGTGTTGTAGTTTGGGTAACAGACGTATTTAATTCCATGGGACACAATGAGGGACACGGGTATTAATGAACAGAGATTTGATGAATGAAGTTTGATGGTGTCCTCTGAAACTCTCCCCTCATTGGCAGTAAGAAAAACCCAGCACAAGGCAATCTGGGGGCTTGCCGGTCTGTGCCACACCTCTTGCTCGCTCATAGGCAATAGTCTGGTATATACAGAGTAAGACCAAATGCCAGAGTCTATGTCAGCAGACAGAAAAGGAAGTGGGAGATGGGGCCTCTTGCCTAGTCTTTTCTCCATCATTTCCATGCTAGGGAAACTCTGATAGCACATTCTGACATACGTCAGTGTCACAGGACATCTGACTAGCAGCCTGCTCTCAGTGGCAGATGGGTGCTGTTGTCGTAGAGGGCACTGGGTAGCCAAGGGTAGCCCACCTTTTTCTGCTTGTCCTCTTGCTGCAGCAGCTGCAGCCTCCTGCTCTCCATCTCCTTGTGCTGGAGGCCCTCCTTTGTGAGGGGGTTGCAGTTGTTATGACCCGGGAGCAAACGGAAGTATCTGTTCTTTTCAGGGTCAAAGTAAAAACCTGGAAGATCTTTAGGAAAAAAAAATTCAACTGACCCAATTGAAAAACAGACCCACCTAATGATCATAAAGAGTCTGTATGTCTTTTCTGCTGGCTAAGTGACAGCCATGGTCAGCCACTGAGGTGCTTCCTGGGGAGACCATCTGCCCCAGAATCACTCCTGACACCTGGCTCCTTCTGTCAGTGGATCAATTTGTTTCTAGAATTCCCTCAAGTCAAGAATGGGCTCTTGACTCCCCCAAAAAGCAAAGAGACGGAGTCCTGGCTAAGGAATGGCAGCCAGGACAGGGTGACTACCTGGTTTGAGGCAGGATAAGACGTTATCTTTTCTCCTGGCAGGCCAGGGGCTCTGCCCTGTTTACCACCTACCTGGCACTGAAGACTCTCCAGCTCTGCTGGACGAGGTTGACGGGGACTCAGCATCATGGTGGGCAGAATCTTGCAAGCTCTGAGATGCCCCTGTGGTGTACCTGTTGACACACAGTTGTGGCAATAGGAGTGTGTGCGCTCATGGGAGCCAAATGACAATATTGCCTGTCAATCTCTTTGAGGCAGGGCCTCTCATTGGCCTGGAACTCACAAAGCACACTAGGCGGCTGGTGAACCCCGGGGTTGTGTTTGTCTGTCTTCCCAGCATTGGGGTTACAAGCACATGACCCCACACTCAGCTTTTAAACATAGGTCTGGGAAATCAAAAAAGTCTACCTACAAACCAAGCGTCCTCCCCAGTGCTGGTTCTCATTCATTTTCGCTGAAGGTCCTACTTAGATCTGTAGCCTTTACCTGACCTTTTCTGTGAATCATCAAACAAGGGTCGGCCTCCCTTCCTTCCTTCCTTCCTTCCTTCCTTCCTTCCTTCCTTCCTTCCTTCCTTCCTTC